GTGTAGTCAGTGTGGGAGTGTAGTCTGTGTGGGAGTGTAGTCAGTGTGGGAGTGTAGTCAGTGTGGGAGTGTAGTCTGTGTGGGAGTGTAGTCTGTGTGGGAGTGTTGTCAGTGTGGGAGTGTAGTCAGTGTGGGAGTGTAGTCTGTGTGGGAGTGTAATCAGTGTGGGAGTGTAGACAGTGTGGGAGTGTCGTCAGTGTGGGAGTGTAGTCTGTGTGGGAGTGTAGTCTGTGTGTGAGTGTCGTCAGTGTGGGAGTGTAGTCTGTGTGGGAGTGTTGTCAGTGTGGGAGTGTAGTCAGTGTGGGAGTGTCGTCAGTGTGGGAGTGTTGTCAGTGTGGGAGTGTAGTCAGTGTGGGAGTGTAGTCAGTGTGAGAGTGTAATCAATGTGGGAGTGTAGTCAGTGTGGGAGTGTAGTCAGTGTGGGAGTGTAGTCAGTGTGGGAGTGTAATCAATGTGGGAGTGTAGTCAGTGTGGGAGTGTAGTCTGTGTGGGAGTGTAGTCAGTGTGGGAGTGTAGTCAGTGTGGGAGTGTAGTCAGTGTGGGAGTGTAGTCAGTGTGGGAGTGTAGTCAGTGTGGGAGTGTAATCAATGTGGGAGTGTAGTCAGTGTGGGAGTGTAGTCTGTGTGGGAGTGTAGTCAGTGTGGGAGTGTCGTCAGTGTGGGAGTGTAGTCAGTGTGGGAGTGTTGTCAGTGTGGGAGTGTAGTCAGTGTGGGAGTGTTGTCAGTGTGGGAGTGTAGTCAGTGTGGGAGTGTAGTCAGTGTGGGAGTGTAATCAATGTGGGAGTGTAGTCAGTGTGGGAGTGTAGTCTGTGTGGGAGTGTTGTCAGTGTGGGAGTGTAGTCAGTGTGGGAGTGTAGTCAGTGTGGGAGTGTAGTCAGTGTGGGAGTGTAGTCAGTGTGGGAGTGTAATCAATGTGGGAGTGTAGTCAGTGTGGGAGTGTAGTCTGTGTGGGAGTGTCGTCAGTGTGGGAGTGTAGTCAGTGTGGGAGTGTAGTCAGTGTGGGAGTGTAGTCAGTGTGGGAGTGTAGTCAGTGTGGGAGTGTCGTCAGTGTGGGAGTGTAGTCAGTGTGGGAGTGTCGTCAGTGTGGAAGTGTAGTCAGTGTGGGAGTGTAGTCTGTGTGGGAGTGTAGTCAGTGTGGGAGTGTAGTCAGTGTGGGAGTTTCGTCAGTGTGGGAGTCTAGTCTGTGTGGGAGTGTAGTCAGTATGGGAGTGTAGTCAGTGTGGGAGTGTAGTCAGTGTGGGAGTGTAGTCTGTGTGGGAGTGTCGTCAGTGTGGGAGTGTAGTCAGTGTGGGAGTGTAGTCAGTGTGGGAGTGTCGTCAGTGTGGGAGTGTAGTCAGTGTGGGAGTGTAGTCAGTGTGGGAGTGTAGTCAGTGTGGGAGTGTCGTCAGTGTGGAAGTGTAGTCAGTGTGGGAGTGTAGTCTGTGTGGGAGTGTAGTCTGTGTGGGAGTGTTGTCAGTGTGGGAGTGTAGTCTGTGTGGGAGTGTAGTCAGTGTGGGAGTGTAGTCAGTGTGGGAGTGTAGTCAGTGTGGGAGTGTAGTCAGTGTGGGAGTGTAGTCTGTGTGGGAGTGTAGTCAGTGTGGGAGTGTAGTCTGTGTGGGAGTGTTGTCAGTGTGGGAGTGTAGTCTGTGTGGGAGTGTAGTCAGTGTGGGAGTGTAGTCAGTGTGGGAGTGTAGTCAGTGTGGGAGTGTAGTCAGTGTGGGAGTGTAGTCTGTGTGGGAGTGTAGTCAGTGTGGGAGTGTAGTCTGTGTGGGAGTGTAATCAATGTGGGAGTGTAGTCAGTGTGGGAGTGTAGTCTGTGTGGGAGTGTAGTCTGTGTGGGAGTGTAGTCTGTGTGGGAGTGTAGTCTGTGTGGGAGTGTTGTCAGTGTGGGAGTGTAGTCTGTGTGGGAGTGTAATCAATGTGGGAGTGTAGTCTGTGTGGGAGTGTAGTCAGTGTGGGAGTGTAGTCAGTGTGTGAGTGTAGTCTGTGTGGGAGTGTAGTAAGTGTGGGAGTGTAGTCAGTGTGGGAGTGTAGTCAGTGTGGGAGTGTCGTCAGTGTGGAAGTGTAGTCAGTGTGGGAGTGTAGTCAGTGTGGGAGTGTAGTCTGTGTGGGAGTGTAGTCAGTGTGGGAGTGTAGTCAGTGTGGGAGTGTCGTCAGTGTGGAAGTGTAGTCAGTGTGGGAGTGTAGTCTGTGTGGGAGTGTAGTCAGTGTGGGAGTGTCGTCAGTGTGGGAGTGTAGTCAGTGTGGGAGTGTAGTCAGTGTGGGAGTGTAGTCAGTGTGGGAGTGTCGTCAGTGTGGAAGTGTAGTCAGTGTGGGAGTGTAGTCTGTGTGGGAGTGTAGTCTGTGTGGGAGTGTTGTCAGTGTGGGAGTGTAGTCTGTGTGGGAGTGTAGTCAGTGTGGGAGTGTAGTCAGTGTGGGAGTGTAGTCAGTGTGGGAGTGTAGTCAGTGTGGGAGTGTAGTCTGTGTGGGAGTGTAGTCAGTGTGGGAGTGTAGTCAGTGTGGGAGTGACGTCAGTGTGGAAGTGTAGTCAGTGTGGGAGTGTAGTCTGTGTGGGAGTGTAGTCAGTGTGGGAGTGTAGTCTGTGTGGGAGTGTAGTCTGTGTGGGAGTGTAGTCAGTGTGGGAGTGTAGTCAGTGTGGGAGTGTAGTCAGTGTGGGAGTGTCGTCAGTGTGGAAGTGTAGTCAGTGTGGGAGTGTAGTCTGTGTGGGAGTGTAGTCTGTGTGGGAGTGTAGTCAGTGTGGGAGTGTAGTCAGTGTGGGAGTGTAGTCAGTGTGGAAGTGTAGTCAGTGTGGGAGTGTAGTCTGTGTGGGAGTGTAGTCTGTGTGGGAGTGTAGTCAGTGTGGGAGTGTAGTCAGTGTGGGAGTGTCGTCAGTGTGGGAGTGTAGTCAGTGTGGGAGTGTAGTCAGTGTGGGAGTGTCGTCAGTGTGGAAGTGTAGTCAGTGTGGGAGTGTAGTCTGTGTGGGAGTGTAGTCTGTGTGGGAGTTTAGTCAGTGTGGGAGTGTAGTCTGTGTGGGAGTGTAGTCAGTGTGGGAGTGTAGTCTGTGTGGGAGTGTAGTCTGTGTGGGAGTGTAGTCAGTGTGGGAGTGTAGTCAGTGTGGGAGTGTAGTCTGTGTGGGAGTGTAGTCAGTGTGGGAGTGTAGTCTGTGTGGGAGTGTAGTCAGTGTGGGAGTGTAGTCTGTGTGGGAGTGTAGTCAGTGTGGGAGTGTAGTCAGTGTGGGAGTGTAGTCTGTGTGGGAGTGTAGTCTGTGTGGGAGTGTAGTCAGTGTGGGAGTGTAGTCAGTGTGGGAGTGTAGTCTGTGTGGGAGTGTAGTCAGTGTGGGAGTGTAGTCTGTGTGGGAGTGTAGTCTGTGTGGGAGTGTAGTCTGTGTGGGAGTGTAGTCTGTCTGGGAGTGTAGTCAGTGTGGGAGTGTAGTCTGTGTGGGAGTGTAGTCAGTGTGGGAGTGTAGTCAGTGTGGGAGTGTAGTCTGTGTGGGAGTGTAGTCTGTGTGGGAGTGTAGTCAGTGTGGGAGTGTAGTCAGTGTGGGAGTGTAGTCAGTGTGGGAGTGTAGTCTGTGTGGGAGTGTAGTCTGTGTGGGAGTGTAGTCAGTGTGGAAGTGTAGTCTGTGTGGGAGTGTAGTCTGTGTGGGAGTGTAGTCAGTGTGGAAGTGTAGTCTGTGTGGGAGTGTAGTCTGTGTGGGAGTGTAGTCAGTGTGGGAGTGTAGTCTGTGTGGGAGTGTAGTCTGTGTGGGAGTGTAGTCTGTGTGGGAGTGTAGTCAGTGTGGAAGTGTAGTCTGTGTGGGAGTGTAGTCAGTGTGGGAGTGTAGTCAGTGTGGGAGTGTAGTCTGTGTGGGAGTGTAGTCAGTGTGGGAGTGTAGTCAGTGTGGGAGTGTAGTCTGTGTGGGAGTGTAGTCTGTGTGGGAGTGTAGTCAGTGTGGAAGTGTAGTCTGTGTGGGAGTGTAGTCTGTGTGGGAGTGTAGTCAGTGTGGAAGTGTAGTCTGTGTGGGAGTGTAGTCTGTGTGGGAGTGTAGTCAGTGTGGGAGTGTAGTCAGTGTGGGAGTGTAGTCTGTGTGGGAGTGTAGTCTGTGTGGGAGTGTAGTCAGTGTGGGAGTGTAGTCAGTGTGGGAGTGTAGTCTGTGTGGGAGTGTAGTCAGTGTGGGAGTGTAGTCAGTGTGGGAGTGTAGTCTGTGTGGGAGTGTAGTCAGTGTGGGAGTGTAGTCAGTGTGGGAGTGTAGTCTGTGTGGGAGTGTAGTCAGTGTGGGAGTGTAGTCTGTGTGGGAGTGTAGTCAGTGTGGGAGTGTAGTCTGTGTGGGAGTGTAGTCAGTGTGGGAGTGTAGTCAGTGTGGGAGTGTAGTCTGTGTGGGAGTGTAGTCAGTGTGGGAGTGTAGTCTGTGTGGGAGTGTAGTCAGTGTGGGAGTGTAGTCTGTGTGGGAGTGTAGTCAGTGTGGGAGTGTAGTCAGTGTGGGAGTGTAGTCAGTGTGGGAGTGTAGTCTGTGTGGGAGTGTAGTCAGTGTGGGAGTGTAGTCAGTGTGGAAGTGTAGTCTGTGTGGGAGTGTAGTCAGTGTGGGAGTGTAGTCTGTGTGGGAGTGTAGTCAGTGTGGGAGTGTAGTCTGTGTGGGAGTGTAGTCAGTGTGGGAGTGTAGTCAGTGTGGGAGTGTAGTCAGTGTGGGAGTGTAGTCAGTGTGGGAGTGTAGTCTGTGTGGGAGTGTAGTCAGTGTGGGAGTGTAGTCAGTGTGGGAGTGTAGTCAGTGTGGGAGTGTAGTCAGTGTGGAAGTGTAGTCAGTGTGGGAGTGTAGTCAGTGTGGGAGTGTAGTCTGTGTGGGAGTGTAGTCAGTGTGGGAGTGTAGTCAGTGTGGGAGCTTAATCAAGCTGTGTATGAGTGTAGTTGAACTTTGCATCAGTGAAGACAAGCAGTGCTGGTAGGTATATGCAGTGTGGGAGTGTGGTAAAACTTGTTGGGTATTAGCAGATTGTGGGAGTGAAGTAAACTTTTGAGTGTGTGGATAGATTGTGGGAGTGAAATAAAACTTTGTGGATGTGTGGGCAGACTGTGGGAGAGAGTGTTCATGGAGTACAACAAGCAACAGGAGAAGATGGTCACAGTAAAGGGTCTGAAGCCATACACTCGCTACGCTCTCTACGTCTCCGTCTACTACATCGACGCTAAGAGCGCCACCCGCTCCGCCATCCTCTACGCCAGGACCCGGGCCAGCAGTGAGTATCCACTCCCCATGTTCTCCCTCCCGGCTCCTTAAACTCCTGCAGGACCCGGGCCAAAAAATGAGTGCCCACCACCTTGCTCTCCCTCCCGGCTCCGTAAACTCCTGCAGGACCCGGGCCAAAAAATGAGTACCCACCACCTTGCTCTCCCTCCCGGCTCCGTAAACTCCTGCAGGACCCGGGCCAAAAAATGAGTACCCACCACCTTGCTCTCCCTCCCGGCTCCGTAAACTCCTGCAGGACCCGGGCCAAAAAATGAGTACCCACCACCTTGCTCTCCCTCCCGGCTCCGTAAACTCCTGCAGGACCCGGGCCAATAAAATGAGTACCCACCACCTTGCTCTCCCTTCCGGCTCCGTAAACTCCTGCAGGACCCGGGCCAATAAAATGAGTACCCACCACCTTGCTCTCCCTTCCGGCTCCGTAAACTCCTGCAGGACCCGGGCCAATAAAATGAGTGCCCACCACCTTGCTCTCCCTCCCGGCTCCGTAAACTCCTGCAGGACCCGGGCCAATAAAATGAGTACCCACCACCTTGCTCTCTCTTCCGGCTCCGTAAACTCCTGCAGGACCCGGGCCAATAAAATGAGTACCCACCACCTTGCTCTCCCTTCCGGCTCCGTAAACTCCTGCAGGACCCGGGCCAATAAAATGAGTGCCCACCACCTTGCTCTCCCTCCCGGCTCCGTAAACTCCTGCAGAACTCGGGCCAATAAAATGAGTACCCACCACCTTGCTCTCCCTCCCGGCTCCGTAAACTCCTGCAGGACCCGGGCCAATAAAATGAGTACCCACCACCTTGCTCTCCCTTCCGGCTCCGTAAACTCCTGCAGGACCCGGGCCAATAAAATGAGTACCCACCACCTTGCTCTCCCTTCCGGCTCCGTAAACTCCTGCAGGACCCGGGCCAATAAAATGAGTACCCACCACCTTGCTCTCCCTTCCGGCTCCGTAAACTCCTGCAGGACCCGGGCCAATAAAATGAGTACCCACCACCTTGCTCTCCCTCCCGGCTCCGTAAACTCCTGCAGGACCCGGGCCAATAAAATGAGTACCCACCACCTTGCTCTCCCTTCCGGCTCCGTAAACTCCTGCAGGACCCGGGCCAATAAAATGAGTACCCACCACCTTGCTCTCCCTTCCGGCTCCGTAAACTCCTGCAGGACCCGGGCCAATAAAATGAGTACCCACCACCTTGCTCTCCCTTCCGGCTCCGTAAACTCCTGCAGGACCCGGGCCAATAAAATGAGTACCCACCACCTTGCTCTCCCTTCCGGCTCCGTAAACTCCTGCAGGACCCGGGCCAATAAAATGAGTACCCACCACCTTGCTCTCCCTTCTGGCTCCGTAAACTCCTGCAGGACCCGGGCCAATAAAATGAGTGCCCACCACCTTGCTCTCCCTCCCGGCTCCGTAAACTCCTGCAGGACCCGGGCCAATAAAATGAGTACCCACCACCTTGCTCTCCCTTCCGGCTCCGTAAACTCCTGCAGGACCCGGGCCAAAAAATGAGTACTCACCACCTTGCTCTCCCTCCCGGCTCCGTAAACTCCTGCAGGACCCGGGCCAATAAAATGAGTGCCCACCACCTTGCTCTCCCTCCCGGCTTCGTAAACTCCTGCAGGACCCGGGCCAATAAAATGAGTACCCACCACCTTGCTCTCCCTTCCGGCTCAGTAAACTCCTGCAGGACCCGGGCCAATAAAATGAGTACCCACCACCTTGCTCTTCCTACCGACTCCATAATCTCTTTCCTCTATTTCATCATTATACCCAAACATTCTCCCTAGTCCATTAGTTTACAGCTGACCTACGCCTGACTGATGTGTAAAAAAATCATTTATAATAAAGCTCGTGAATGCCCTGGTAAGTGTTGCGGGTTTTATTATGTGTCTATCACTTAATCTCTGTTCCTTCTTTATTACTTTCACATTTTCTCTGTTTGTTAAGTGGTTATCTTGAGATGATTTCGGGACTTTTTAGTGTCCCCGCGGACCGGTCCTCGACCAGGCCTCCACCCCCAGGAAGATGCCCGTAACAGTTGACTAACTTCCAGGTACCTATTTACTGCTAGGTAACAAGGGCATCAGGGTGAAAGAAACTCTGCTCATCGTTTCTCCCTGGAGCCCGGGATCGAACCCGGGACCAAAAGATCACACGTCCAGTGTTCTGTCCGCTCAGCCACCGGATCCCTCCCAAGTGACTTTAACTGCTGGTTCAATATGCAGGTCGATGCTTGTGTGTTCTCGGGACCGTGCGCACAACCCGTCTCCTTAAAAATAATCATGCTTTTCGCTCATATGCGCTCTATGGCATAAAATGGACGTAATTTGAAATAAAATCGGCTGACAAAAGTGATGTACTGTCCCGTTTTCTGTTTGAGTCGTCTGGCTTACTCGGTGAGGTTAGGAGAGGAAACTTTCAATTAACGGTTTTCATGATGTTTTGAAGCTTTAGGAGAATTTCCTGCCCTCCAAACCTACAAGAGGACCCTTAACTTACTGTTTTGGAAAAAAATAGAAAACTTTTCATTTTCAAATTACGTCCATTTTCGGCCATAAGGCCAAATGGCCAAATTCAGACGTAATTTGTAAGATGACAGCTTGTAAGCGTTTTACTCTGCTTCTCTATTTTGGACTTCCAATTGTAAATTAGTGACGACCTTCATAAGATTTATAAATTTAGCAATCATTATCTTTTACGAGGGTGCTTTCCCCTTCTCTAGTTTTTCTTTAGTGGCACTTGATGGTAACAAACAGGAAGCTGTCCACTTGCCCTATACAGTGTCCTACACTACCACCTCATCACATTCAACACTTTATTCTCACGCTAAAACTTATTTCTCACGTTTTAAACTCTTTCAGTCGGGAATAACGAAGACATCTGTCCTGATTCGTTCACTCGTTCGCTCTGCCCGCTTTATATATACAATTTAAGTACTATGCGATAACGCGAGGAATTATTCACTATGCATAATGCAACAGTAAGCATCCGTATATTGCCACCGCCACTGTTGGTACACATCTTTCCGTGTCTTGAAGAACAGCTGTGGAACAGCTGTCATATACACCCCGGAAATATAATTTGCGCCACAAGCTACGGTTTCCAATTTCTCTAGCAGGAGAACATGAGCCTTCTTTAACACACAACGGAGGCAAAGTTCTTCACTAGAACACGAGAACATTGTTGGGTATATATATGATACGTATTAGAGTGCGTGAGATCACGCACTCTCCACCTAGAGTGCTCAGTGCTCTAACTCTACTGAAAGTGTTGCTGCATATCTCCTTGGGCGATGCTAGCCAGCCATGCACTCTACTGTGGTTTCAGCTGTTGATTATGGTTGTCCAGGTTGCTTGTGCAACCTGTCTTCCTAATAGAACGGCGCATTTTGACGTATGCTATATGAGGTAACTATATATGTCATCTCTGATGACATATATAGTCAAGTATTTTTGTAACTAGGGCAAAAATTGTCGTATTAGAAAACAGTAGTGACTTGCGGAATTGACTTACTATCCCGTTTTCTGTTTTGGGTCCTCTGGTAGGTTAGGATAAGCGCACTTTAGTACGACAATTTCTTGACGTTTGAAAACCTTAGGAGGACGGACTGGTACAAGATCATCCCTGCCACTCTCCGCCATGTTGACAGTAGACACACTCGAGGCTTGCGGTTAAGTGTACAGGTATTCTGCTCTTCCCATTTTCAAACTTGTTCGCTGACGTCAGAGATTTATCCCTTAATTATAGATATAACTGCTAATGTTATAGGTACTATGCAAAAGTTTTCATAATCATGAGAAAGATCAGTGATAAAGTATAGTGATATAATATTTCCACCTTCCCACATCACACTTAACAGTGTCCGGGATTCACTGGCACGCTGGTTCAAATACCACTTTTACCTCAGATAATTATCTCGTTGATCTATCACGCCAGTGTGATTTGTCTGTGTTCATACTTAACAGCCTTTCAGTGTTAAAAGGCCCCATGTTACTTCCCTGCCTGTAGAAGAGAAACTGATTTCGGACATGTCTCTGAAATATTCCATTTAATTCAAAGATTTCCATCACTGAAAGTTTCAATAATAAATTTTTCAAAACTTCCTTGTAACATACGCATATGTTCTCTCGCCTTTCCTGCTGCTTAAAGCCAGCTTCATCTGGAACATGTCCTTATGCATCCAAGTTCCCTCTACCATTTTGACTGGATCACTGTGAGGACCAGCGCCCTAATCCCTGCTCAGAGATCCCCAACAGTAGTAGGCATCCGTCAGTCTCAGGAGACTATGTAGTTGCGCTCTGGTTGTCGGTCTGCAGTGACCTCTCCAGGGCGCAAAGCCAGGGTAGGTTGATATGGAGGAGAAGCTGTTACCCATGCAGCAGGTCGCCCCTCTCAACGGCGCCGAAAGTCTCCAATGGAAAGACAAACGTCAATACGATTGGTTCCAGCGCCGTCGCAGGAACTGTGAGCTCCGGAGTTGACCTCGAAGTTGGTGTAACGACTAAGTAAGGGTGTGGAGGTGACATTAAAATACCTTCAGTCAGACCAACCGCTTCCCAAGTTCACAATGGACGGAGTAATGATAACTTAATCAAGATTAATAACATTTGCTGAATGATTAATCATATACCAAAGCCATCAAAATCACCAAAATTACTTATGCGCCTAAAGTATAGATAATGTCTCTTATTTCCCTAAAACTTTGCTTTGACCTTCAGAAGGGCTGGTGACTCCCTCCCTGGCCTCGTGAGGCTGGTGACTCCCTCCCTGGCCTCGTGAGGCTGGTGACTCCCTCCATCCCTGGCCTCGTGAGGCTGGTGACTCCCTCCCTGGCCTCGTGAGGCTGGTGACTCCCTCCATCCCTGGCCTCGTGAGGCTGGTGACTCCCTCCCTGGCCCCGTGAGGCTGTTGACTCCCTCCCTGGCCTCGTGAGCCTAGGGACTCCCTCCCTAGCCCCGTGAGGCTGGTGACTCCCTCCCTGGCCCCGTGAGGCTGGTGACTCCCTCCATCCCTGGCCTCGTGAGGCTGGTGGCTCCCTCCCTGGCCCCGTGAGGCTGGTGACTCCCTCCCTGGCCTCGTGAGGCTGGTGACTCCCTCCCTGGCCCCGTGAGCCTGGTGACTCCCTCCATCCCTGGCCTCGTGAGGCTGGTGGCTCCCTCCCTGGCCCCGTGAGGCTGGTGACTCCCTCCCTGGCCTCGTGAGGCTGGTGACTCCCTCCATCCCTGGCCTCGTGAGGCTGGTGACTCCCTCCCTGGCCTCGTGAGGCTGGTGACTCCCTCCATCCCTGGCCTCGTGAGGCTGGTGACTCCCTCCCTGGCCCCGTGAGGCTGTTGACTCCCTCCCTGGCCTCGTGAGCCTAGTGACTCCCTCCCTAGCCCCGTGAGGCTGGTGACTCCCTCCCTGGCCTCGTGAGGCTGGTGACTCCCTCCATCCCTGGCCTCGTGAGGCTGGTGGCTCCCTCCCAGGCCCCGTGAGGCTGGTGACTCCCTCCCTGGCCTCGTGAGGCTGGTGACTCCCTCCCTGGCCCCGTGAGCCTGGTGACTCCCTCCATCCCTGGCCTCGTGAGGCTGGTGGCTCCCTCCCTGGCCCCGTGAGGCTGGTGACTCCCTCCCTGGCCTCGTGAGGCTGGTGACTCCCTCCATCCCTGGCCTCGTGAGGCTGGTGGCTCCCTCCCTGGCCTCGTGAGGCTGGTGACTCCCTCCATCCCTGGCCTCGTGAGGCTGGTGACTCCCTGGCCCCGTGAGCCTGGTGACTCCCTCCCTAGCCCCGTGAGGCTGGTGACTCCCTCCCTGGCCTCGTGAGGCTGGTGACTCCCTCCATCCCTGGCCTCGTGAGGCTGGTGGCTTCCTCCCTGGCCCCGTGAGGCTGGTGACTCCCTCACTGGCCTCGTGAGGCTGGTGACTCCCTCCATCCCTGGCCTCGTGAGGCTGGTGACTCCCTCCATCCCTGGCCTCGTGAGGCTGGTGACTCCCTCCCTGGCCTCGTGAGGCTGGTGACTCCCTCCATCCCTGGCCTCGTGAGGCTGGTGACTCCCTCCCTGGCCCCGTGAGCCTGGTGACTCCCACCCTGGCCCCGTGAGCCTGGTGACTCCCTCCCTGGCCCCGTGAGCCTGGTGACTCCCTCCCTGGCCCCGTGAGCCTGGTGACTCCCTCCCTGGCCTCGTGAGGCTGGTGACTCCCACCCTGGCCTCGTGAGCCTGGTGACTCCCACCCTGGCCTCGTGAGCCTGGTGACTCCCACCCTGGCCTCGTGAGCCTGGTGACTCCCTCCCTGGCCCCGTGAGCCTGGTGACTCCCTCCCTGGCCCCGTGAGCCTGGTGACTCCCTCCCTGGTCCCGTGAGGCTGGTGACTCCCTCCCTGGCCCCGTGAGCCTGGTGACTCCCACCCTGGCCCCGTGAGCCTGGTGACTCCCTCCCTGGCCCTGTGAGCCTGGTGACTCCCTCCCTGGCCCCGTGAGCCTGGTGACTCCCTCCCTGGCCTCGTGAGGCTGGTGACTCCCACCCTGGCCTCGTGAGCCTGGTGACTCCCACCCTGGCCTCGTGAGCCTGGTGACTCCCACCCTGGCCTCGTGAGCCTGGTGACTCCCTCCCTGGCCCCGTGAGCCTGGTGACTCCCTCCCTGGTCCCGTGAGCCTGGTGACTCCCTCCCTGGCCCCGTGAGCCTGGTGACTCCCTCCCTGGCCCCGTGAGCCTGGTGACTCCCTCCCTGGTCCCGTGAGCCTGGTGACTCCCTCCCTGGCCCCGTGAGCCTGGTGACTCCCTCCCTGGCCCCGTGAGCCTGGTGACTCCCTCCCTGGTCCCGTGAGGCTGGTGACTCCCTCCCTGGCCCCGTGAGCCTGGTGACTCCCACCCTGGCCCCGTAAGCCTGGTGACTCCCTCCCTGGCCCCGTGAGCCTGGTGACTCCCTCCCTGGCCCCGTGAGCCTGGTGACTCCCTCCCTGGCCTCGTGAGGCTGGTGACTCCCACCCTGGCCTCGTGAGCCTGGTGACTCCCACCCTGGCCTCGTGAGCCTGGTGACTCCCACCCTGGCCTCGTGAGCCTGGTGACTCCCTCCCTGGCCCCGTGAGGCTGGTGACTCCCTCCCTGGCCCCGTGAGCCTGGTGACTCCCTCCCTGGCCCCGTGAGCCTGGTGACTCCCTCCCTGGCCCCGTGAGCCTGGTGACTCCCACCCTGGCCCCGTGAGGCTGGTGACTCCCACCCTGGCCCCGTGAGCCTGGTGACTCCCACCCTGGCCCCGTGAGCCTGGTGACTCCCTCCCTGGCCCCGTGAGCCTGGTGACTCCCTCCCTGGCCCCGTGAGCCTGGTGACTCCCACCCTGGCCCCGTGAGCCTGGTGACTCCCACCCTGGCCCCGTGAGGCTGGTGACTCCCACCCTGGCCCCGTGAGCCTGGTGACTCCCACCCTGGCCCCGTGACACCTTATCACAGCTCTAGAGTAGGGGTCGGCGGCCTTCAAGTAACCTCCCTAAGCTCTCTTAGGTACAGTTTCAAGGAAATAATCATCATTACCTGTACCTTGGAGACGTAATGATAAAAATACACTAACTTCCCCGAGATCATAATTTGTTTACATGGTGTAATTAGTGAGTTATTTATATTCCAGGAAAAGAACAAGTTTGTTGCCAAGTTTACAGTGTTAGTTATATAAAGTGTTCACCATGTTAGTTATATCAAGTGTTCACCATGTTAGTTATATAAAGTGTTCACCATGTTAGCGCAAGTACATGAACAAATAGGCACATCATGTAAATAAATAAATAAATAAAGCTAATTCAAAGAGCGTTCCCCCCTGACAGACCCGTCACCTGTGAGGGAGCTGCAGGTAAGCCAGCCAGGTTCCTCTCACCTGGTCTTCACCTGGCTTATGCCGTCTTCACCAAACGGCCAGATTACTCTGTACGAGGTCAAGTATCAGAGGGTGCAGCGACTACCCCTACACCCCGCCTACGCTCAGGCGTGTAGTGAGGACTACGAGCCTCGTAAGTTGTGAAGCGACAGGTGGCCTGCTATATAGCACACCTGTCCTTCTTTGTTGCGTTCCCTTCACCTGTAGTCTTAGTCTGTAGCTGCTGCTTCAGTAGTGTTCCTCTTCATCTGTAGTCTTAGTCTGTAGCTGCTGCTTCAGTAGTGTCCCTCTTCATCTGTAGTCTTAGTCTGTAGCTGCTTCAGTAGTGTCCCTCTTCATCTGTAGTCTTAGTCTGTAGCTGCTTCAGTAGTGCCCCTCTTCATCTGTAGTCTTAGTCTGTAGCTGCTTCAGTAGTGTCCCTCTTCATCTGTTTATGAATATAGAGCATTTCAGTGTCTTGCTGTGTTATTATTCGCCTCCTTCTGTTCGTATTATATTTGTGTTACTTCTGTGTATGTCAGTGTGTTTGTTTCAATCTCTTGACAAGGCATTCATTCCCTTACAAGTATTAACAACCACTACCATGTATCTTCCTTAGATAAGGTGAAGCCTTAACAAGCGTGACGTCATCAATAACGTGGCTCTCTCCTTTCTAGTTGGGAATTTTCTCCATTCATTGATTTTATACATTTGTATTATTGTGTATTGAAACGTAACGATACATAATGAATCGAGTTATTATATGAATAGTCAATGAATAATTGAATGTGTTACAATTTACGTTTGCCAGCTAGTAGAGTGGCCAAGGTCAACGTGGCCCAGGAGACGACGACCAACACCCAGCCTACGGGGCCAGGGGGCGCCGCCCAGCGTCAGCAGGGAGGGGAAAGTGGTCTCTCTGACGAGGGCGGGGAGAGGAGCCTCTCTCGTGTACAAGGCTCCAGGAAAGAGTGCTGTGCCTGCCCCCCGTCCTACTCCGTCGTCTCCAAAGAAGACAGACAATATGATATTGAGTTTGAGAACTACTTGAGAAGAGCTATGTATTCCAAGGTGTAAGTTCACTGTTGCTTTAATTTCAGTCTCTTAATATATTAATTTAAAAACTATGACCTTGTATATAAGATTCCATCTAATGTTTATGATTTATGTAAATATGTTTCATATTTTCATTGGCATAATTAATGCACTTTGAAACTAAGAGCTAAAGGAGCTGAACAAAATCCCTTGTATCCAGCACTGTGGGGACTTGTGACCTCCACCATAACCAGAGGGAAGGTCACTGTGTACCTGGTAGGTGTAGCAGGTGTGTGATGTGTGAACATGGGCAGGTGTAGCAGGTGTGTGATGTGTGAACATGGGCAGGTGTAGCAGGTGTGTGATGTGTGAACATGGGCAGGTGTAGCAGGTGTGTGATGTGTGAACATGGGCAGGTGTAGCAGGTGTGTGATGTGTGAACATGGGCAGGTGTAGCAGGTGTGTGATGTGTGAACATGGGCAGGTGTAGCAGCTGTGTGGTGTGTGAACATAGGCAGGTGTAGTAGCTGTATGGCGTGTGAACATAGGCAGGTGTAGTAGCTGTGTGGCGTGTGAACATAGGCAGGTGTAGTAGCTGTATGGCGTGTGAACATAGGCAGGTGTAGTAGCTGTATGGCGTGTGAACATAGGCAGGTGTAGCAGCTGTGTGGTGTGTGAACATAGGCAGGTGTAGCAGCTGTGTGGTGTGTGAACATGGGCAGGTGTAGTAGCTGTGTGGTGTGTGAACATGGGCAGGTGTAGCAGCTGTGTGGTGTGTGAACATAGGCAGGTGTAGTAGCTGTGTGGTGTGTGAACATAGGCAGGTGTAGTAGCTGTGTGGTGTGTGAACATGGGCAGGTGTAGCAGCTGTGTGGTGTGTGAACATAGGCAGGTGTAGTAGCTGTGTGGTGTGTGAACATGGGCAGGTGTAGTAGCTGTGTGGTGTGTAAACATATGCAACATAGGCAGGTGTAGTAGCTGTGTGGTGTGTGAACAAGGGCAGGTGTAGCAGGTGTGTGGTGTGTGAACAAGGGCAGGTGTGTGGTGTGTGAAGAAGGGCAGGTGTAGCAGGTGTGTGGTGTGTGAACATAGGCAGGTGTAGTAGCTGTGTGGTGTGTGAACAAGGGAAGGTGTAGCAGGTGTGTGGTGTGTGAACAAGGGAAGGTGTAGCAGGTGTGTGGTGTGTGAACATAGGCAAGTGTAGCAACTGTGTGATGTGTGAACATAGGCAGGTGTAGCAGCTGTGTGGTGTGTGAATATAGGTAGGCAGGTGTAGCAGTTGTGTGGTGTGATAACATAGCCAGGTGTAGCAGGTGTGTGGTGTGTGAATATAGGTAGGCAGGTGTAGCAGCTGTGTGGTGTGAGAACATAGGCAGGTGTAGCAGCTGTGTGGTGTGTGAACATAGGCAGGTGTAGCAGCTGTGTAGTGTGAGAACATAGGCAGGTGTAGCAACTGTGTGGTGTGAGAACATAGGCAGGTGTAGCAGCTGTGTCGTGTGCGAACATATGCAGGTGTAGCAGGTGTGTGGTGTATAAACATGGACCTCAAATCGCCCACGCACACCTTATAAATCTCTAATGTATCCTTCCTCTCTTGATTAGGTATACCTAAATATAACTAACAAATTAAAATAAACTCTATGTGAAGCAAGTGAGTCCCTTGCCAGGGAGAAGAAAGAGGATGGTAGCGAGGCATCAGAGTCACGAAGAGCATCCTTGGGTGGCAGCAGGAGACGCAGCCGCCAGCGCAGCCAGGCTGTTGTGGTGGGCGAGGAGCCCTCAACCACAACGGTGTGGAGCTCCCTGGAGCCCTCAGGCAGCACCGTGTGGAGCTCCCGGGGCTCAGTCGGGGAAATTCCTGTACTCTACTACAAAAGGTAACTCTCAACTTCGTCTGAACTACTTCATGTTTAAACATTACCTCACGTTCTCTTACTGACGTGTTCATCCATCTTGTCTTGCTGACGTGTTCATCCATCTTGTCTTGCTGACGTGTTCATCCATCTTGTCTTGCTGACGTGTTCATCCATCTTGTCTTGCTGACGTGTTCATCCATCTTGTCTTGCTGACGTGTTCATCCATCTTGTCTTGCTGACGTGTTCATCCATCTTGTCTTGCTTACGTGTTCATCCATCTTGTCTTGCTGACGTGTTCATCCATCTTGTCTTGCTGACGTGTTCATCCATCTTGTCTTGCTGACGTGTTCATCCATCTTGTCTTGCTGACGTGTTCATCCATCTTGTCTTGCTGACGTGTTCATCCATCTTGTCTTGCTGACGTGTTCATCCATCTTGTCTTGCTGACGTGTTCATCCATCTTGTCTTGCTGACGTGTTCATCCATCTTGTCTTGCTGACGTGTTCATCCATCTTGTCTTGCTGACGTGTTCATCCATCTTGTCTTGCTGACGTGTTCATCCATCTTGTCTTGCTGACGTGTTCATCCATCTTGTCTTGCTGACGTGTTCATCCATCTTGTCTTGCTGACGTGTTCATCCATCTTGTCTTGCTGACGTGTTCATCCATCTTGTCTTGCTGACGTGTTCATCCATCTTGTCTTGCTGACGTGTTCATCCATCTTGTCTTGCTGACGTGTTCATCCATCTTGTCTTGCTGACGTGTTCATCCATCTTGTCTTGCTGACGTGTTCATCCATCTTGTCTTGCTGACATCCACAACGTCAGTAGTGTTATCCAGTACGGACGCCTGCAAACATAATGCTACGCACGCATTCTTAATTTGCAATGAACTTTGATCAGTCCATTTTCAGTAATAGTTAATTTCCTCCCATTTTCAAAAAATTCTTACTTGTTTCCATTTTACAATTTTTTTTATATTTGTCCCCATGATTGTTCTTATGGTTTAAATACATTTTTATGACCAGATTGTTTAGTGAACATCAGAATTATTGAATGCCCATTGCCCCATACAGCATCTCCTATATGTTCCCACCCATGATTGGCAGAGCAGCCAATCATGGACTACCGTTAAGAATGAAATAAACTGTAGAAGGCCTAATAGTCTATACATAACAAACAAGGAAACTGTAGAATACTCAAAGAGAATCCTGTGGAGGATGGAGTAATCCTTGTAGCACATTAGTAGTGGGTGTGGAGGATGGAGTAATTCTGGTAGTACATTAGTAGTGGGTGTGGAGGAGGGAGTAATCCTGGTAGTACATTAGTAGTGGGTGTGGAGGATGGAGTAATCCTAGTAGCAAATTAATAGTGGGTGTGGAGGATGGAGTAATCCTGGTAGTACATTAGTAGTGGGTGTGGAGGATGGAGTAATTCTGGTAGTACATTAGTAGTGGGTGTGGAGGAGAGTAATCCTGGTAGTACATTAGTAGTGGGTGTGGAGGAGGGAGTAATCCTGGTAGTCCAGCAGTAGTGAGTGTTGAGAGAGTAATCCTGGAAGTGCAGTCGTTGTGGTGTTGCGGGAGTAATCGGGGTGGTACGACAGTAGTTGGTGTAGACGGTGTAATCTTGGTAGTAAAGGTGTAGTGGTGTGGATAGCGTAGTCGTGGTAGTCCAGCAGTAGTGGGTGTGGCGGGAGTACAGTTAGTACATGGTAGTACAGTTTTAGTTGGCGTTGAGAGAGTAATTCTTGTTGTACAGAAGTTGTAGTAAGTAATCCTGCTAGTATAGTAATCCTGCTAGTATAGTAGTAGTGGTGTGGATGGAGTAATCCTGGTAGTACCACAGTAGTGTGGTGTGGAGGAAGTAATCCTAGTAGTTCAGTAGTGTGGTGTGGAGGAAGTAATCCTGGTTGTGCAGTACTACCAGGTTTGATGGGATTATTCCTAGTAATACAGTAATAGTTGTTGTTGAGGGAGTAATCCTGGTAGTTCAACAGTAGTTGGTGCGGAGGGAATAACCCTGTTAGTACAGTAGTAGTGGTGTGAATGGTGTAATCCTGAGAGTACAGTAATAGTTGGTGTGGAGTGAGTAATCCTCGTTGTATAGTACTACAAGGTGTGAATGGAGTAGTAGTAATGGTGTGGATGGAGTAATCCTGGTAGTAGGGCAGTAGTGGGTGTGGAGGGATTAATCCTGGTAGTACAGCAGTAGTTGGTGTGGAGGGATTAATCCTGGTAGTACAGCAGTAGTTGGTGTGGAGGGATTAATCCTGGCAGAAGAACAACTTCAGCAGTGGAGAAGAGGCAGAGGTGAACTAGCAAGTACTGGCACTAGGTAAGTAGTTAGGTAGGCTAAGACGCTTCTTAATAGCCGTTGTTGACTGGAAGACCAGCCTGGTGGGTAGTGTTGTGTGTGTTCCTCAGCCAGGTGGGTAGTGTTGTGTGTGTTCCTCAGCCTGGTGGGTAGTGTTGTGTGTGTTCCTGAGGGTTACCCGCGCGTCCCAGTATGAGGTAATGTTGGCCTGCTAGTCCTTGCATGGCCTTCCAATAGGCGTTCTTGTATGCCGTTGTTGTGATGTATTGTAACTTTTTGCTACTAACATCCCATTATGCAAATAAGTTCCAACAATTTTTGGAACGTCTTGAAGACGTCTCTAGAAGACGTCACTCACAGAGGTGTGTTGTGTGTGACAGGGAGGAGACGAAGCCGAGTGAAGACTCGTCCCGCTACGGCGTGAGAGACGCGAGGAGTGAGTCCCGGGGGAAGGCGAGGAGGGAGTCTCCCAGGTACTCCTTGCTGGGACCTCCTCTGACTGCTGACAACCACACGGGTAAGGCGCCTCACACTTCACAGTCATGTAATACTTTATTTTGTCCTCCACCAAAGAAATGTTTATGAATATGTTTGGTGGTCTGATATTGTTTATTATGTTTTCGTCAGTTTACATGTCACTGGTTTGGGTACTGAGCAAGTTTACTGTGTTGAAAAGAAGGTACAAGGATACCTTCAACGAAGGGTATACGTCAACACTGATGCACAAAATGTTAACACTTACAAAAATGGCCACCAGGATAAGGCAGATACATCTGTAAAAGGCAGGTTTTTCGTAAGACTTATGGAAGAGAATATCGAGGGATCATAGAGAGCTCTTTCAATTGTAAAATATAACTAAGAAAAATTATTTCACTTAGTCCTACTGAAAAAACCCGCCTCAATTAGGACTATCAAATAAATTCTTCCCCAATTCTCTTACTATATTAACAAATCCACAAGGGCAGTGATGAGGGTTCGAACCTCATCACTCGTTCGATTATTATACATTTATTATATATTATACATTTTTTATTTTGCCCGTGTGACTCAAGAGTAGGCTTCGTTTTAAACAATTATATGGAAGAGTACCCGTTAACACGTGGCAGGAGTACAAGTAATGTTAATGACATCGAAATAGGGAGTGAGCAAGGGAACAGTGATCACAAAGAAGCATAGAATGGAATAGACCTGTAGGAGAAAATTCTGTTAAAGTGCCAGATTTTCGAAAAGCTGATTTCAATAGCCTACGATTTTTTGTGGGTCAAATAGATTGGAAAGTCTTGGGCATGGGGGTGGGCCGGTCTTGGAGCGAGACATGAACCCAGCGATAGGTGACGTAAAAGGGGATTTAGATGTGGATTCAAAATATAACTTATTTAAGAATATTCTAAGCAAAACACAGGAATCTAGTATACCATACAAATTGAATAGATCGAATACTAATGACCCAAATTGGATAACAAAGGATTTGAAGAACTTCATAGGTAAAAAAGAGCGTGGTACAAAAGGATTAAGAATGGGGAAGTCTAGAACAGGAATTCGCACAACTGTTTAGAAATGTTAAAAAAGAGATAAGGAAAGCAAAAAGAAACTATGAAGTTCGCATAGCAGGGCAAGTGAAGACAAATCCTAAAGTTTTTTTTCAGTTATATCGAACTAAGACTAGGGAAAGGATAGGTCCATTAAAAACTGAGACAGGTCAAATAACGGATAATGACGAGGACATGAGTAGTATTTTTAATAAATATTTTATATCTGTATTTACTAAAGAGAAACTTAACAATATGCCTTCAGCCGAACAAGTCTATGTGGGTGGAGACGAGGACAGGTTGACTAGTTTAGCAGTTACCAGGGAGGATGTAATTTAATAAATAGTAAAATTAAAAGCAAACAAATCCCCAGGACCGGATGAAATGTTTGCCAGGGTACTTAAAGAATGCAAAGAGGAGCTTTTCGAGCCACTGTCTACCATATTTAATAAATCAATAGAGTTAGGCAGAGTGCCAGAGTCATGGAAGATAGCTAATGTGGTACCAATTTTTAAGAAAGGAGATAGATCACTTGCGTCAAACTATCGGCCAATTAGCCTAACGCCTATTGTGGGAAAGTTACTTGAATCGATAATTGCAAATACAATTCATCATCATCTTGAAAAACATAAATTAATATATGAGTCGCAACATGGTTTTACAAATGGCCGTTCATGTTTATCAAATTTGCTATCTTTTTATTCCAGCATAGTTAAGGCAGTTGATAGTGATAAAGGTTGTGATATTGTGTACCTTGACTTTAGGAAAGCTTTTGATACAGTGCCTCATGAAAGACTGATTAAAAAGATAGAGTCTCATGGTATTGGGGGTGCTATATTAAGATGGATTAGGGCATGGCTATTCCAATGGAAACAGAGTTAGTGTAAATGGGGTTAAGTCAAGTGGGATAATGTTGTTAGTGGAGTGCCTCAAGGCTTTGTCCTGGGACCTCTGTTGTTTATAATATATATAAATGATTTAGATTCAGGTTTGAGTAGCAACATCTGCAAATTTACCGATGATACAAAAATCGGTAAGGAAATTAACACAGAAGAAGCCTCACTATCACTTCAAGTTGATCTAAATAGGGTTTTGATATGGTCAAAAGATTGGCAGATGCAGTTAAATGCTAATAAATGTAAAGTTCTGAGGCTAGGTAATGAGGATAGAGTTACAAGATACGAGCTAGATGGTGTTGAGATTGTGAAATCAGATTGCACAAGGGATCTGGGATTTATGATTAGTAAGAATTTCAAACCAAAAAATCAATGCATAAATGTTCGTAATAAGGCAAATAGGACACTCGGATTTATTAATCGAAGCATTAGTAACAAGACACCTGGTGTTGTTCTTCAACTATATCTTGCTCTGGTTAGGCCCCACTTAAATCATGCAGTTCAGTTTTGGTCGCTGTACTATAGAATGGATATAAATTCACTTGAACATGTCCAGCGTAGGATGACTAAGTTAATTCCCCAAATTAGAAATCTTTCTTATGAGGAAAGATTAACAAAGCTGAAACTGCATTCACTGGAAAGGCGAAGAGTTAAGGGTGACATGATAGAGGTTTACAAGTGGATGAATGGACATAACAAAGGGGATATTAATAGGGTATTAAAAGTATCAACACAAGACAGAACACAAAACAATGGGTGTAAATTGGATAAGCTTAGATTTAGGAAAGACTTGGGTAAATACTGGTTCGGTAACAGGGTTGTGTATTTGTGGAACCAATTACCTCGTAACGTGGTGGAGGTTGGGTCCCTCGATTGTTTCAAGCGTGGGTTGGACATGTATATGAGTGGGATTAAGTTGTTATAGATAGGAGCTGCCTCAGATGGGCCAATAAGCCTTCTGCAGTTACCTTTATTTTTATGTTCTTAATAGTAGTGGGGATGGAGGCTTAGTAGGAACTAAAAAAAAAATTGGCCAGTTCCTGCTGTCACTCCCTTTTCAGCGGAAAAATTGTCAAAAGTTTTAGTTGCCGCTGTGCCCCACCTTTTCCAGGGGTCACACCTGTTTAAGACAAAAAGTATTTCAGAGTTCTTATGATCATAGAAGCTTCTTAAAGAGTTTAAGACCAAAATTTTTCAAAAGACCATTTTTGGAGAATATTGTCATAGAAGTTTTGTTATGGAAAAATAGATATCTTAGCAGTAAGTTTTTACTTTATATCCATTTACTGCTGTGTCATACTCGTTTAAGACCGAAGTTATTCAGAGACCAGTTAAAGACCGAAATTATTCAGAGACCAGTTGAAGACCGAAATATTGTCAGAGTTCAGTTTAAGACCAAAATAGTTTCAGAGACCAGTTGAAGACTGAAAATTTGTGAAAGTTCTAGTTAAAGACCGAAATTGTTCAAAGACCAGTAGAAGACCCAAATTTGACAGAGACCATTTTAAAACCAAAACTAGTCAGCGTCTCATTCGAGGTCAAATATTTTCAGAGTTCATATAAATATAGAAGTTTCTTAAAGAAATCTTATAGAAAATAATCAGGGTCATGTCTGCTTTCTTATTAAACTCTACGGTCATAAACAGATATTTGAAACTGTAGGCTTTTAAGTAAATTCTTATATAGAAAATATACTCAATTATATGTAAGGAGGCAACCTATATTTGGTTCCGAGAGGCAGTTCTAATGTTAGCCGGCCTCGCATACACCATCAATGTTATTCTTTTTATATGAGCTTCTGGAGACAGGTTTCGGGTTATATCAACTCCTAGATCTTTCTGTCTGTCCGTTTCATGGAGAACTTCATCTCCCATTCGGTATGCTGTTGCTGGCCTCCTGTTTCCACTGCCTAGTTTCATTACCTTACATTTGCTTATGTTGAACTGTAATAGCCATTTGTTGGACCATTCATTCAGTTTGTCTAGATCATCTTGTAGCCTCATACTCTCTTCCTCTGACTTAATCCTCCTCATAATTTTTGCATCATCAGCAAATATTGAGAGTAACAAGTCTATTCCCTCTGGCAGATCATTCACATATTTCAGAAACAATATATGTCCAAGGACTGAACCCTGTGGGACTCCCCTGGTGACACTTCGCCAATCAGAGACCTCGCCCGTCACAGTGACTCTCTGTCTTCTGTTGCTTAGGTACTCCTTTATGCAATGGAGTATCTTCCCATTCACTCCTGCCTGCATCTCCAGCTTGTACACTAGTCTCTTGTGGGGCACTATGTCAAAGGCTTTTTTACAATCCAAAAATACACAGCCTGCCCACCCCTCTCTTTCTTGCCTGATTTTTGTTGCCTGGTCGTAGAATTCAATTAATAATGTGAGGCAGGATTTGCCATCCCGGAATCCATGCTGATGTTGTGTTACAAAGTTCTTTCGCTCTAGATGTTCCACTAGCTTTTTTTCGCACAATCTTTTCCATCAACTTGCATGGAATGCAAGTTAGGGACACTGGCCTGTAGTTTGATGCATCCTGCCTATCCCCCTTTTTGCATATTGGGACTACATTAGCAATCTTCCAAATTTTTGGCAGCTACCCTGGTACCGGTGATTTGTTATACACTATGGAGAGTGGCAGGCACAGTGCTTCTGCTCTTTCGTTTAGTATCCAAGGTGAGATTCCATCCGGGCCTATAGCCTTTGTCACATTCAATTCTAGCAAAAGCTTCCTCACCTCCCCACTCGTAATCCCAAAGTCCTCTAGCAGTGCCTCGTTATCTATTCCCTCTCTTATCTCTGGAACTTCTCCTTACTCTGATGTGAAGACCTCCTGGAATTTCTTATTGAGTTCCTTACACACACATCCTTGTCGTTTGTAGTGAATCTGTCTACCCCTATCCTCAGTTTCATTACCTGTTCCTTCACTGTTGTTTTCCTCCTGATGTGGCTGCGCAATAATCTAAGTTGAGTCTTTGCTTGCTATGTCATTTTCATGTTGCCTTTCTGCCTCTCGTCTCACCCTGACGTATTCATTCCTGGCACTCTGGTACCTTTCTCTGCTCTCTGGTGTCCTTATAATTCTATAGTTTCTCCACGCCCGTGCACTTAGTTGCTTTGCTAGCTTATATCTTTTATTAAACCATGGGTTTCTCATCAGCACTTCATTTTTTTCCTTTTGGACCGGGACGAACATGTCTGTTGCCTCCTTACATTTCTGTGTGATGAAGTCCATCCGTCCTTGGGACGTCTTTCCTCCAAGTTCTGCTTCCCAAGCTATAACTGTTTGGAATTTAGCCTTGAAGGCATTTACAATTAATGACAAGTACCACTAATAATGTAATAAAGAAGTAATTATAATGTGGGAAACAACTTCCGGACACAGGCCCCAATAATTTGTTATCTACCTAGTTCAGCAAGGCTCGTGTACCTGTCAGCACTGGAACATATCTAGGGTAAGGCCACTGTGCATGTATTTGATACATCAGGATGCTCATAGCAGACACAATTTTACTACTACATAACTACAATATAATCGTAGATCAGGTATGGCAATAACAATGTATGTCTCCAGATAATATTATACAACCAAAGACACAAAGAGAATATTACTTAACTTAAAAATACATGTTGTCACCCAGCAGTCTCCACTAGCCAGTGAAGCTCTGCTGCCTCCACTACCACCATCTGCCTCTTCTTAGGGGATGCCAAAAGACTAATAATATTCTTAACAAGCATACTATCTACAAAAGTAATCACTCTCAATTAGACACAAGGGGCGCCGGTGGCTGTGTGGACAGCATGCTAGACACGTAATCCTGTGGCCTGGGTTCGATTCCTAGCACCGGCGAGAAAAAATGGGCAGCGTTTCTTTCACCCTGATGTCCCCTGTTACCTAGCAGTAAATAGGTACCTGGGAGTTAGACAGCTGTTATGGGCTGCTTCCTGGGTGTGTATTCACCTAGTTGTGCTTGCGGGGGTTGAGCTCTGCTCTTTCGGCCCGCCTATCAACTGTCAATCAATCAACTGTTACTAACTCCTTTTTTCACATACACACACACACGCACCCAGGAAGCAGCCTGTAGCAGCTGTCTTACTTCCAGGTACCTATTTACTGCTAGGTAACAGGTGCATCAGGGTGAAGGAAACTGCCCATTTGTTTTTCCGGCAGTGCCGGGGGATGGAACCTCGGTCCCGAGGTCCACGAGTCTAGAGCACTATCCACTCAGCCTCCATCCACCCAAACACAGAGCTACCACTGTGTGTGTGTGTGTGTATGTGTACTCACCTAATCGTGCTTGCAGGGGTTGAGCTCTGGCTCTTTGGTCCCGCCTCTCAACTGTCAATCAACTGGTGCACAGATTCCTGAGCCTACTGGGCTCTATCATACTTATATCTGAAACTGTGTATGGAGTTAGCCTCCATCACATCACTTCCTACTGCATTCCATTTATTAACTACTCTGACACTGAAAAAATCTTTCTAACGTCTCTGTGGCTCATCTGGGTACTAAGATTCCACCTGTGTCCCCTTGTTCATGTCTCACCCGTGCTGAAAAGTTTGTCTTTGTCCACCCTGTCAATTCCCCTGAGAATTTTCGAGGTGGTTATCATGTCTCCCCTTACTCTTCTGTTTTCCAGGGACGTGAGGTTCAGCTCCTTTAGCCTTTCTTTGTAGCTCATTCCTCTCAGTTCCGGGACGAGCCTGGTGGCATACCGCTGAATCTTCCCTAACTTTGTTTTGTGTTTAACTAGGTATGGAATCCAGGCTGGAGCTGCATATTCCAGGATTAGTCTGACATAAGTGGTATACAGGGTCCTGAACGATTCCTTACACAAGTTTCTAAAGGCAGTTCCTATATTGGCCAGTCTAGCATATGCCGCTGATGATATCCTTTTGATGTGGGCCTCTGGGGACTGGTTCGGTGTGATATCATCCCCCAGATCTTTCTCTCTATTTGACTCTTGCAGGATTTTACCTCCCAGATGGTACCTTGTGTTCAGCCTCCTGCTCCCTTCGCCTAATATCATTACCTTACACTTTCCTGAGTTGAACTTTAGCAGCCATTTTCTAGACCATTCCTCCAGTTTGTCCAGGTCATCCTGTAGTCTCTGTCTGTCTTCATCCGTCTTGATTCTTCTCATAATTTTTGCATCTTTTTTTTTTTTTGCATAATTTTTTCATTTTTTGGGCCGAAAGAGCAGAGCTCAACCCCCGCAAGCACAACTAGGTGAATACAACTGTGTGAATACACTAACGTAATGTTTTACACATTCTTATAATACAACTAAACAAATGGACATTCTTAAATAGTTGAAATAACAGATTTACTTCTAAAAAGGAGGCGACATCTGGCAACACAACATCCGGTGAATACATCATTTATATCACTACCACCGATGAATATACAATTTGCCCTCATTCACATCCTACCTTCTGAGATGGGTGTATGAAATATGTTATCTGTGAGAACCAGGTAATCATAATCATTACCTGGGTCGTAACAAAGTGCAGTTCAGTGTTGCAACATTCAAAACGTCAACAAATTTTAAAATAGTATTGAAATAGATGGTTGTGAGTGACAGTGTTGTAATGTTTGTGTTGCAGAGGAGAGCCACTGGACCAGGACGACCACCACCACTGTCAACATCACTGGGCTCCACTACTTCACTCAATACAAGGTGAGTGTCTCCACCTCCGGCAATGTTGCTCAACTCAACTACCTGTACATGTGGGGGGATAACCTTCACCTCTTGCAGTCCAGTCAATAATATATAGGCAGTGGCGGTCCCAGAACCCGGACGACGATACCTGATTTGAATGAAAATCCAGAACACATGAAAACAAAAGACCCTAAGAATAAAGATAACTGCAGAAGGCCTATTGGCCCATTCAAAGAAGCTCCTATTTATAACTAACAAATCCCACTCTTATACATGTTCAACCCACGTTTGAAACAATCAAGAGACCCCGCCTCCACCACGTTACGCGGTAATTGGTTCCACAAATCAACAACCCTGTTACCGAACCAGTATTTACCCAGGTCTTTCCTAAATCTGAACTTCTCCAGTTTATACCCATTGGGTTGTGTTTTGTCTTGTGTTGATACTTTTTATACCCTATCAATATCCCCTTTGTTATGTACATTCATCCACTTGTAAACCTCTATCATGTCACCCCTAACTCTTCGTCTTTCCAGTGAATGCAATTTAAGCTTTGTTAATCTTTCTTTATATGAAAGATTTCTAATTTTGGGGATTAACCTTGTCATCCTACACTGGACGCGTTCAAGTGAATTCAAATCTATTCTATAGTATAACGACCAAAACTGAACTGCATAATCTAAATGGGGCCTAACCAGTGCAAAATATACCTGAAGAACAACACCAGGTGTCTTGTTATTAACGCTTCGATTAATAAATCCCAGTGTCCTATTCGCCTTATTACGAACATTTATGCATTAAATTTTTTGTTTTAAGTTCTTACTAATCATAACTCTCAGATGTTATGATTAGTAAGAACTATATATATAACCCCCCTATATATATTGGGGTTATACGAGGCAGCTCCTATCTAATCACAAAGATTAATCCAGTGTAATTGGCCTATTATGTTGGACATTGTCTTCTGTGTTGGCATCGATATGTTCTTGTCTTGTCCTTACGTAAGGACAAGACAAGAACATATCGATGCCAACACAGAAGACAATGTCCAACATAATAGGCCAATTACACTAGATTAATCTTTGTGTTTAGATAGTAGCTGCCTCGTATGGGCCAATAAGCCTTCTGCAGCCTCTATGTTTCACCTCACATTTATCCCTTATGTATCCCCCCATGTTTTCACCTTTATTGTATTATCACCTGACCCAGTGCGGGTATAAAATCAACTAGTATTGTAAGATCTGTTCACTTGAGCATGAACCATGGAGGTTCGAAACGTTGTGCAAATTATATAAATAAGTGTAATACACTCTATAGTAAATCACTTCTTTTCTTCACCTCAAAAGTACGAAAATGAGTTTTGGAGAACTCCTATTTCAATTAAGCCCTGATGCTAAGAAAATAGTTAGAGGGATAGAAGCCCTAAACCAGAAAATAATAAACACAGAATATGCGGTCATATTCAATGAAATATATATATATATATATATATGTCGTACCTAGTAGCCAGAATGCACTTCTCAGCCTACTATGCAAGGCCCGATTTGCCTAAGAAGCCAAGTTTTCATGAATTAATGTTTTTCGACTACCTAACCTAACATTTTCGGCTACCTAACCTAACCTAACCTAACCTATAAAGATAGGTTAGGTTAGGTTAGGTAGGGTTGGTTAGGTTCGGTCATATATCTATGTTAATTTTAACTCCAATAAAAAAAAATTGACCTCCTACATAATGAAATGGGTAGCTTTATCATTTCATAAGAAAAAATTTGAGAAAATATATTAATTCAGGAAAACTTGGCTTATTAGGCAAATCGGGCCTTGCATAGTAGGCTGAGAAGTGCATTCTGGTTACTAGGTACGACATATATATATATATATATATATATATATATATATATATATATATATATATATATATATATATATATATATATATATATATATATATATAAAGTCAGGCACTGACTTAACCCCATTTACACTAACTCTCTGTTTCCGTTGGTATAGTCATGCCCTAATTCATTTTAATATAGCACCCCCAATACCATGAACCTCTATCTTCTTAATCAGTCTTTCATGTGGCACTGTATCAAAAGCTTTCCTAAAGTGAAGGTACACAATATCACAACCTTTATCACTATCAACTGCCTCAACTATGCTGGAATAAAATGATAGCAAATTTGTTACACATAAACGGCCATTTGTAAAACCATGTTGTGAATCATTTATTAATTTATGTTTTTCGAGATGAGGGCGAATAGTATCTGCTATTATCGATTCAAGTAACCTTCCCATAATAGACGTTAGGCTAATTGGCCGGTAGTATGACGCAAGTGATCAATCTGCTTTCTTAAAAATTGGGACCACATTAGTAACCTTCCACGACTCTGGCACTCTGCCTGACTCAATTGATTTATTAAATATGGCAGACAATGGCTCACAAAGCTCCTCTTTGCATTCTTTAAGCACCCTGGCAAACAATTCCTCCGGCCCTGGGGATTTGTTTGGTGTGAGTCTTACTATTTGTTTAATAACATCCTCCCTAGTAATTGCTAATCTAGTCAATCTGTCCTCGTCCCAACCCACACAGATTTGTCTGATCGTTGGACTTGTTCCTTTGAATTAAAATGAGAAAACAAGCACATATTCAATGGAAGAGGCGGCGGCACCTTTCAAATTGTCAAAAAACTTTCATCTGACTGAAATCCTTTCTAATTTTTATTAATATTTTTATTTATTAAATTTAAGAAGCTTGCCACTAGGTAAACATCCAGCCGTAAACATTCCTCAATGTTACGCGGAGTGTGTGTGTGTGTGTGGGAGGCAGGAGGAGTGTGTGTGTGTGGGAGGCAGGAGTAGTGTGTGTATGTGTGTGGGAGGCTGGAGTAGTGTGTGTGTGTGTGGGAGGCAGGAGTAGTGTGTGTGTGTGTGGAAGGCAGGAGTAGTGTGTGTGTGTGTGTGTAGGAGGCTGGAGTAGTGTGTGTGTGGGAGGCAGTAGTAGTGAGTGTGTGGGAGGCAGGAGTAGTGTGTGTGTGTGGGAGGCAAGAGTAGTGTGTGTGTGTGTATGGGAGGCAGGAGTAGTGTACTCACCTAGTTGTGTTTGCGGGGGTTGAGCTCTGGCTCTTTGGTCCCGTCTCTCAACCATCAATCAACAGGTGTACAGATTCCTGAGCCTATTGGGCTCTATCATATCTACACTTGAAACTGTGTATGGAGTCAGCCTCCACCACATCACTTCCTAATGCATTCCATTTGTCAACCACTCTGACACTAAAAAAGTTCTTTCTAATATCTCTGTGGCTCATTTGGGCACTCAGTTTCCACCTGTGTCCCCTTGTGTTAAATAGCCTGTCTTTATCTACCTTATCAATTCCCTTCAGAATCTTGAATGTGGTGATCATGTCCCCCCTAACTCTTCTGTCTTCCAGCGAAGTGAGGTTTAATTCCCGTAGTCTCTCCTCGTAGCTCATACCTCTCAGCTCGGGTACTAGTCTGGTAGCAAACCTTTGAACCTTTTCCAGTTTAGTCTTATCTTTGACTAGATATGGACTCCATGCTGGGGCTGCATACTCCAGGATTGGCCTGACATATGTGGTATACAAAGTTCTGAATGATTCTTTACACAAGTTTCTGAATGCCGTTCGTATGTTGGCCAGCCTGGCATATGCCGCTGATATTATCCTCTTGATATGTGCTGCAGGAGACAGGTCTGGCGTGATATCAACCCCCAAAGTCTTTTTCTTTCTCTGACTCCTGAAGAATTTCCTCTCCCAGATGATACCTTGTATCTGGCCTCTTGCTTCCTACTGTGGGATATTTGGGGCTTGACTCTATTTATTTAATTATTAAAGTAATGAAATCAATTACGAAGGACCACCCGCTTTTAAAGAAAAGAGGGAAACTAATAAAAAGTGATCATTAGAAATTCCAGGAAGAACCAGTGTCTATGGCTAAATATTAGGAAGTATAATCACTTAAATAATTACTGGGCTGTATAAATAATTAATTTGAATCAAAGCCTCAAACACCTACATTGGGGGTTATTGCTAGAACTTCATATACGTCTAGGAACTAGTGTGGTTCGTGCACCAGTTCATTATATAATAACTAATCTTATGACCAAATTAAAGAAATCTATAGAAGATTATCACCAGTAATTATAAAGATCATTAGCATCAGAAATTAATCATTCTAATAAACACGGATTATCTCCAGTGTACATGATCAGCATCCAATTAGATAATATGATATAGAAATAATGAATTTTAGAGTAAAATTTAGAATTTTAGAGCTAAGAGAAAAAGTCTTAGCTTTAAGACGATTTCAATGACATCAGTCACGACTCATCCTTGGGATCTCCGGAATTCCTCGTAGAAACACTTGGAGGCGAATAACACGGAGTAAGGTAACAGCTCGTTGACTCCTCACATGCGAGCTGTAATTTAAGGGATATTACGTAGCATTGAACTAGGCTACTGGAATATCTATATTCATGAAAATGGAAAACAATTTTGTTATGGTACTAACATGGGATTTGTTAAGGTCACTCGATCTAACGACAAGCTGCCCCGACATATACAATCTCTAATGATGCATCAAAAGGGAGTTATATACTTAGCTAAGGGTACAGATTATGTTGAAGCTTGCCGAAACCGCGTCCCAAGCTCAAATTCCCGCAATGTCGTACACGTGGTTGATAGCTTGGCTTGAATGTCGACGCGTTTTAGTTGGCCGGTCTCTGCAGATCACGTAGAACAATATTAACTAGTTCTATGTTGAGTACCAGGGTAATTCTTGCTGATAATCTCAACTTCACGTGTCTCAGACTCTGACACCACGACCTTGTTGCTCAATTCCGCAACACGAGACTTCTACGCCACACTCTGGCGTCTTGTCCACAACAACAATGGCTTCTCCTCCCTCTCCCACTAGCGTCCCGCATTCGCCACAGAAATTATTTATCACGAATAATATTATTTCGCGTAATTGTGGCTGAAATGCTTTAATAAAGACTG